ACGAATGGAGAAAAAAGAAAACTGGCCACATCCTATGTTTTGTCCACCCAGGCAGACAAAAACCTGGTCTTCAGTGCAGAAATTTAGAAATGTAGCACTTTCATACCTCCTTTCCTTCGAAAGCTTCCCAGCTCGCATTGGACACGAGCACTGCGTAACTCGGACTTATATGCACTATAGTCAGTTACAGGTTAAGAAGGTAGCGGCAAATGCCCCTCAAAGGGAATCAGATATCCCTCCGCCACCTTTGCATCCAATAGCGTCCCACCGTTTCCGTGACGTCGCGGACAACGCGCGAGGAGGGTCTTGCCTTTCTGTACATATTTGCTTTATCTTTCGACTTTGACTTAGCATTGTGGAAGCCACGAGAGGGAGATTAGAGTTCTCCCCCACCGACGGAAACAAATACGACTTTCGGGGATTAGCTTCCCCCCCCCGATGGATACAAAGGCTGCTTTCAGGGGCTCGGTTCCCTCTCCGATGAATACAAAGGTCGCTTTCTTATAGCGAGTTCGTTTCACACGCACTGGCACCGTTCGAGTTCTCTCCCAGAATGCATCGCACTCACAGAGTGTTGCACGGAAAACTGGACTAAAACGAACTCGCCAAATGCACCGAGTGCAGAAGACTGATGTTGCCGCCATCTATGTTGTAGAAAAGGTACCGACTTCAAACCGAAACTAGCGCCTTTCTGTTCGGAGTGATGCGTGGGAACGCGAGAATGCAGTCGGCTACCAACGTTTATCTACAAACGTTGGTCGCTGCAACCTATAGTTTATAGTTGCGATGACTTCAAGCAGCTCGGCTGCCGTAGAGATAGTTACAGACGGCGTAAATTTCCGCACCCAGTTGTGTACAAAGCAGCTGGTTGCGATCTTTCAATTCTTATAACCGTTTACACCGAACAAAAATGATGATGCTGTTCGAGCAGTAGCTTGATCCGTTTGAGCATGGTATTATGCGTGAACCACTGAAAGGGTGCGGCTTAAAACTAGCCTGTTGGAATATCCAGCAAAACTGGGACTTTCGATTTGGATCGTTATTATGGGTGGATCAGATATTAGCCTTGGTGAGGGCGTCAAGAACGAGAGCTTTCTCGAACAAAATACGACGGGGCAAATTAGCTGACGTAGGTAAATGTTAAACATGATGTTGCCCAATCCTCGGGTAAAGTTACCATCTTTAGCTTTCTCTGATGCTTTTTGGGCAGTCAGAGGTTTCTGCTGGGGGAGTTTTGCCGACAAATGTTAAATTTTTCGCCCGCACACGGATGATGATAGACATCTCGGGGGCCGCTGTTACGTTTGTTCTGAGCATTTCATTACACACTGGTATATTTCAGCGTGTGTACTGCAACAGAGCGATTTAAAACCTGCAAATAAATCACGGGTTGTCAATTGCTTCCTTCGGGAAATAGCAGACGCCCACAATTCAAGCTCGCGTTTGATTTCGTGGCCCGCGGGGCGCGATTTCTATCAGAAAATCTACTTTTTGTTCCGTTCGGTTCCGCGGCACATCGTAGCAGACGAACCCTCGTCGTCTGCTCCCGCTCCTCGCCGGCCCCGCCGGAGCGAGGCATGACGGGATTGCATTTTGGCGCACTCCCGATTTTCTCGGTGCAGCGAGTGCATGCACGCGTGGGGTATCAGCGCTGAAACGAACTCGGAGAGTGCAACCACTCGTGGAGTGCCGGCCGAAACGAACCCGTTCCACGCTGCGAGTGGGCACGCGTGGGCACGAGTGCCGTGAAACGAACTCGCTATTAAAAAGTGGGATCGGAGACAAGTGGGAATCCATTGAAGCGGAACAAGGAGCGTTTCCAGTGAACTCTTCTTTCGACTGCGGAGAGATTTGAAACGGGCGCATCACACTTGTGGGAGGAGCTTCTCCTACCTTCTTGACTTGTAACCGACTATAGTCAACAATTAATCCGTCCACAAATATTTGAATTTGCGTTCATGGGCAATGAGTGCCCCGACGGCACTCATTCCTTGTGAATGAATGACAAGTTCCATGGTGTTCTTGTCATTGCATTCGGAGCACCGCACGACCACGTGATTTCTCATTTTGCTTTTGAGTTGATGATTAAAGCCAAGGAGGAGGAAGCTGAAAAGTTATTTCATGTTAAGCCAATACTGCAGCCAATGCAACAACCACGAGAGCACAAGGTCACGATTTTGAAACATTCTTTGCAGTACGAGCGCTCGCGTTAGAAAGGTACGTCTGAAAGCCAGGAGTGCGGGCTAGCTCGCACTTGTAGGTTTGGCTGCAGTCTCAGCTTAATTGGTGCAGGGAAGTGCGACGACAGGTGTGACTCACCTGGAATCTACAACGCAGTCGGCACAAATACTCCTGCAACGTTTATACAAGGCAGGACGTGATGAAACGAGGTCAGTCGCCGAGGTTATGTTTATTTATTTATTTATTTATTTATTCAAATAAATAAATGAAAATGACATGAAAACAATTGGGCTCCTAGAGCTTGTACAGTACAATTCTGCCCCGTTAATATCGAAACCCGCAGTCCAAGCAGCTAGCTTAGGAATAAACTGGGTAAATACTAACATGCATTTTTGTCACCTTATGGACACAAGCTCCGCATTCGTCCCTCTCCCGCCCTCCCACCCCCCCAATAAAAGAAAAAAACATTGTCGTCTGTTTGTTGACTTTCCTGAAAAGAAGACCTGGGCACTTGTTCAGTTTTGTGGAGCTTTCCGGTGAAATGGGCCACTTCCCTTTTTTCCCCCCGTGTCATAGCCATAGATGACATTCATAGGTCCTGTGTGCCCCTTCTGCGTAAAAGTGAAAGGGGGGTACAATTTACTTGTCGTTCAGAAGGGGCTAAGACTATGTTGGTGTGTGAAGCGGAAGGGGCGGCCAGAGACCACGACAAGCACAAGGCGTAAGCCATTGCTTTTCTGGATTGGGAAGGACATGGAGACATACGTGCCTTTGAGGTAGTAGGTACTTGGGAAAGTCTGTATTTATGTTTGCCAAGGTTTTTATTTGTACACGACATACGAGAGCCCAAATATTGAGAACACAATTTGCGGTTCGAAATTCGTTTTCTTTCCGCCCGAAAACCGCCAACTGGCAGGTTTGATTCGCTCTCGCTCTCTTCTCCGTGGTCATGTGCTGTTTTCTATGGTTTAGACAGAACCACAAAAATATAATTGGAGTTGTGGGTCATTGAAAGCACGTACACACATTAAAAATAGGAGAAATATGCCCATTTTATGTAGCTTCTAAGAACTGCAAATACATAAAAAAAATGCACAGCCATATAATTGTCGATATCTTTCTCCTCTATATTTCTTCTTCCCCCCAGTCCAGTTTGTTTTGGGCAGTTGAGTTTTTGTAGCGTGAGCTACAGTGGCCGAGGTTGAGCACTTTTCCCGTCGCTCCTGGAGACCATGCTGCGCATGCGCAAGGAGCAGCGACGTCACACGGCACACAGCGACGTCACACGGCACACAGCTGGTGCGCCAAAGCCGCCGCTGCGCGCGCCTCGCCGATCTGCGCATTCCAGAGAGTGATGTCATAGCTGCGGCAGACGCACTGCAGCGGTGCATGCCCAGCTGTGCGCCTCCATTGCGCAGTAGCCAAGTCTGAAGCTGCTCCGGAGCCGCTCGATAGTGTCCGATTTTGCGCGCATGCACAGCGATAGCGGTGGGTGTATACATATAGCGGGGCGTGTGCCAGTGTGGTATAGCCATGGAGGAGAGTGAAATTGCTGGTCACATAATGCGTATACCGTGTGTGTGTCATTGAAGCAGCAGTAAGCATGATAAGCTAATCCTAGACAACCAGGAAAGCGAAGTATAACCAGCTGAACCTAAGCTCACGCAACGTATATCCTGGCATAGCTGAGCTAAGCCACTGCAATTTTTGACTTCATTAAAAATATATGCGGCACTGCAGCAAAATATTGAATGGGCAGTCTTCCGACAGCATAACAAATCACCAGGCAAAAAGGTTTTTTGGGGGGTGTCAATGTCCCTTGAAGGCTGGTTCACAGTACCCTTTGCATTACGATCACGTCACCGAGACGTTTGTCACAAATGTCGTGTGCCAGGCTATCTCCATGAACTGATAACCATGCTGGATATGAAGCACAGATGTTCCAGCGACTTGTGCGTAAGCAGACAAAAGCTTTCGTAACGTAACGCAAGAAATTGGGGCTGTGTGAACCAGCCTTAAAGCTTTTTCGATGAAGTACAAACCAAAGAGCCTTTGCATGCAAAAAAACTTACCATTTTTCCTAAACTCTTTTGTAGCCACATTCATTGTTTATTATTTGTCTTGACCTGGATTTGCTATTATGGACAATTTTTTTTTTTTGAATAAAGTGAGGTGTCCATATTAACGACATCACTATAATAATGATAACCTAGCTACAAACCCCCTTGGAATGTTGTGAATAGGGTCCCACGTTTTCAGTAAATACTGATAAACCCCCAAAAATTAACCCCCAAACCAGTTTTATCAAAATCGGGGAAAAAAAAAAAAAATTTAGCTGTCCTTTACTGGAAAAAATCAAACAAACAAAAAAGACTACACTTTCCAGAAGAAAAAAAATCTAATTACAATTTTATTTTGTGTTTACCTTGAACACAGACAAAGTGAACTGTCGGCGAGGCTGCCACCTTCCTTGGAAACCAGACCCCTTATCTCGTTTGTTTCCTTTTATTGGTAGTGGGACGTTTTCCCCAGTGCTCTGGGCACGAGCATGTTCTCTGGAGGTTAGGGAATTTCATTCCCGTGTCTTCAACATGAGGCCCAATGAACAGCATTTCCTGTCCCACACCGAAAAACACTGAATCTGTTCAAAACAAAAACACCTCCCAAATAAATAAATAAAAAAACAAAAAAACAACAATTTGGAAACAGAATTTTAGTTTTGAATAACAGGCGCTTTAATTTTCATCAAGTGCTGCGCCCTCTACACGTCGTTGAAAAAACCCACTGGTCGCCCCCCCAATGTTTTACGGAACAAGGAATAACCAGTTTCAGCCAATTTTTATTGTCCATTTAAAGGAAAACCAAATTGGAAAGCACCATCGCCGACTCGCACCCTCTTTCCGACGTTCAGATCCAGCTTTCACCACAAAATACACTAGAGAATTCCGACTCCACAAAATGCTCGCACCACTATAATAAGAAGAGAGTAAACCCCTAAATATGCAATGTGAAAGAGAACAAAATCTCTATACCTTTCAGAAAATAAAGCTAACCGTTTCAGTGCTCTAAAAGAAATCAACCAGTGAAATGTGCTATTTATAACACATATATTTTTTTTAATATTGAGAAATCAACTAGCCCCAAAAATACAATAAGAAAAAAAGCAAACAGTATTTTGTGCATCTTCATGTAATACTATATATACATATACAGTTATATATATATATATATATTGTAGAGAAACTCCTTTAGCCATCATATATTAGCAGTGTGAGTGTGTCTGTGTGTGTTGCCGTGAAAGCTACACAACTTGTATGTGCCCGACGGCTGCATTTTGCTTCCCAAAAGTTTTGCCCCACCCCCCTGCTAGTGTCCATCCGGTCGGCTTGGTCTGGGACGGTCGGGGGCCTTTCACAGGACTGGACCGCTCGGTGGAGGAGGGCTGCTCGGTCCCTGCATGCACGTCCAAGACATTCCATTGGTCATCGTTCACTTTGGCCATCAAATGTCGCCGGCACTGTTACGACCATTAAAATGAAGGCCGCGGACACTTCCTTGCCGCAGAACGAGTTCTGCAACTTGCTGCCAAACTTCATTTCGTGTGTGTTGTCGAAAGAGTACAGTTTCATTAACAATATCTAACTTGACAATATTAACGTGGCGTTTTTTCTATTATTTTCTCGTTCGGATTGTGCGGCGGGGTGATGTAGCTGTTTTGCTGACTTTTTGGAACAGGCGGTGGGCGGTATGAATGTGCGGATTTGGCGGTACGCCCTGTTTTTGTTGAACGAGACTAAGCGCGTGCATGGCGATAGCAAAGTTGGAAGCTTTCAATAAAGTTCAGTTGCCAGTTAGCGTTTCTCCTGTGTGCTTCTTCGTCTTTTTGTCCCATCTCTTTTGCGCTATTTTTAATATAAATGTCCCCTACCAACTTGCCCAGCAAACCAAGCTTTTACAAAAAATATCACTCATGCGGCGATATATCTAACGGATCGGCATATTTTTTTGGAAAAGAAGTGCGCGATTGAACCCGGCCGACGAGGCCGACCGAGCCAAGGCATGTCACGATTCCCAATCTCTCTCCTCCTCGCTTCGTCCCGTCAAGCTGGTGAACTGAAGCGAGGAGGAGAGAAGCGAGGCCGCTTCTCCTCATTCTCAAATTCTCCCGGAGGACAGTCGCGTCACAGAACTCGCTTGATCGCGCCCTTCTTTTGCAAAAGTATGGCCATCCGTTAGAGATATCGATGTACGACTGATGTTTTGGAGTTCGTAGCGTCACGTTCAACACTTCTGCAGCCTTACTTTGCGAAATCCAAATTTCGGTTCAGTATCCCTTTAAGTTGCTTATGCATTTCAGGCCACTTCTGGCGAAATTACAGCGTCGAGCACACAATGCCTCGACAGCGTCTTCCTTTAGCATTGATTTTTTTTGCCGAGATGCCAGAGCCTCTATTTTCAACAAAAATTCGGCTGCAACAATTTTTTGAACCAGAAAGTTGAAATAGAGATCCACCACTGGTGCTTGTCACCTGCCGCAGGGTGGAGCTTACTTCCCTGTGGTCTTGTTCACTCGCATTTACACCAATCAAGTAAAAGCCCACACAAACATTTTCTTGAGAGTTTTTCTCCTCAAGAAGACACCGAGCTCCTGACAAAGCTTTAAGCCACTTCCGTGACGCCTTTCTTCGTGGCTTTCCAAACCAGATTCCTTTCAAGTGTTTGCTCCAAGACCTTCACAATATGAAACAATCCATCATAATTTCCAACCACTTCGAAAGTTCCATCTCATTTTTTTTTCTCCAGGAAACTGTGACAACAGCAGAGCCTGTGACAACAGCAGAGCCTGTGGCATGGCCATTTGTCTCATCCAATACTCCTGGGAATATTTAAGGCAGTATCAATTTCATACATTTAGCCAACACATTGTCCATTTCCCAGCTACGGGACCTCGTGTCATTCGGGCCAAATGTGCATGCAATTTCGGGCCCAATATTGAATAAAAGGTACAGAGTCAAACACATTTAGCACAAACAAGCAACCATCAGTTTTTACAATCCTTTCCCAGCTAGAGGGCTCCGGTAATGACCACTAGAGAAGTAGAATGTACTAGTGTGAAGCACCAATCGAGCCATCAAATTTTGGTGCTTGCTATTATCCTACACGAGTGAGATACAAAAAGGGGGCCGACACCGTGTCCGCACTACCTGAATCGCACAGTGTACAATCGTTCGGAATTCAAACAAGAACATGAAAGCAATGGAAAAGCGTTGGCTTTGCTTGTACTTTAGAATAAGCCCACTGCCCTCGCCCAGAAAAGTGCACCAGTCGCCTGTCCTTGTGACGAGGAAACCCTTTTTGTAACCAAAGCACTTAATGTGTATGTCATGAATGCAACGACTAGGTGGCATAGCACGATTTCTTGGTTCCCGTGTTTGGCCACCACTTCCGAATGACTTCATGCTTTTAGACCGAATCAGTTAAAACGTTGCCATCGTAAAATATTCGGTCCAAAGCTTGTTTACCTAACATATTGCCCTGCTCACTTTTGTTGCAAAACAGTAAATCCGGAAAGAATAAAAATGCAGTTCAGCATAAAGGAGTGCAAGGTTGACAAAAGTGAAGCCTCAAGGTTGGTTCACACATTTGTGTTTGAGTATAACCACTAACAACGAGAAAACCGGCGCCATCTATGAGGCAGCACAGGAAAACACTTCCAACCTGCATATGGCACAGACCTGTCTATCCGGCTTGTTATCTCCGCGGTTCCTTAGGGAGCTCGGACGAAGGTAGTACAGAGCCATGGCGAGCACCATCCAGCCGACGAGGAACAGGAAGAAGCCGGACCCTCCGGCTCCCTGGGGCATCGCAGGCACTGCAAGGCATGACACAGCGTAAAATGTGACTCTCGACGTTGCATCGCCGCCTTTGCAATCTAAACTAGCGCCTACGTAAGCAGAGGTATTTATCGGCGTCTACTTCATGTGGCGCATATCGGTGGTCGTTGGCAGTTATTTTTTATTACGACGAACTAAGTGTTTGAAAATCAGTGAAGAGGAGGTAAGCATGGCTTAGGAACGTGCCATTTATACACCAACTCATGTTTACAAACAAACCGGAGCGCCCGGAGCGTCTCTAGCGGACGCCACCGGCGCCGCGCATGCGCGATGGGGGTGTGGGCAAAAAGCTCGCCGTCGCCCATAAACAAACCCTTGAAATGCGATGTTGTCGGCGTCGGTGTGAGTCCCCCTGCCCTTTTTCGCGTTCGAATTGTTGGTTCTACGTCTTCCTGGCGATGTCTGACTACTTGACCGGCGTCAGCGAAATTACCGAGGCTCGTTACACCGCAAAACTTCGCGAGAATAATGTGACATGTGGCGATTCATTCCGCGTGGACGCCGCAGATTGTACGCTAAAGCTGGATTTGCATGATGAGATTTCGCTCGGATCAGTCGCGACGCCGCTCGGGCTGCAAAAGCGTGAACCGTAGCTGAGATGGTCGACGACGATACTGAAAATCGCAAGCAGAATCGAACCAACTGAATTAGGCATAACAAGTCGGTGTTGGTCACTGGTAGCAATGACCAACATCTCCTTGTATCTACTGTTTACATCGAGCCTGCTTACCAACCTTCAAATGTAAGTCTTTTGAGGCCTGCACTCACTTCTTATCGTAAGTACCGGGCCAACATTTGGTCTACGGACCGGCGTCGCCTAAGAGAGCAGACGACAAGCAGAAACGTTTGAAAGAGCAGACGACAATTCGAACAATCAGGCGGCCGTTTGAACTCGAAGACGCACTGAACGTAGTACACAGGTGGTCCGCACAACTTGACAGTTTTCTGGCGTTCATGTTGGAACAAAACAAATAAATCTGATGACCACAAGTATCCGTGAATTCAACCCAAAGTGCTTTCCGTCCAAGCAGTCGTTGTCCGACGGTGTCTGCTTTTCCCTTTTCACAGCACATATCCAGATTCTCGGACGAACCGAGCACGGGAAAACTGACCTTCAAACCTTTCTCGACACTTTTGGTACGGGCCCAGTCGCGGCGTTTTGACGAGAAGGCAGATTTTTGTCTGGTTCCTTTCAAAACAACGCAGGAATACACGTCTGGCATGGGGACTTCTGCCCACAGCCCCAGACCGGAAGTGCGACCGACGCGCCACCACCGCGCCGTGACGTCACAGAGATGAGTTTGTGTATAAAGAGGTGTGGGGGGGCATGTCATGACCTGTAGTTGAGAGAGAAGAGGAGGGGGCATGGCAAGGAAAAAAACGGCACGCCCCTAAGACGCGACCGGCAGTGCATTCGGCGACAATCTGAACAAGCAACCGGCAGTCCGAACAACTCGAAGTCGCGGTGCCGCAAACACCTATCAGAAACCACAGATTCGCCGGTGTGCCCAACAAGGAAACCGACAGCTACCTGGCAGTCCGAATAACAGAGTCGCGGTGCCGCAAACGCCTATCAGAAACCACAGATTCGCCGGTGTGCCCAACAAGGAAACTGACAGCTACCTGGCAGTCCGAATAACAGAGTCGCGGTGCCGCAAACACCTATCAGAAACCACAGATTCGCCGGTGTGCCCAACAAGGAAACCGACAGCTACCTGGCAGTCCGAATAACAGAGTCGCGGTGCCGCAAACGCCTATCAGAAACCACAGATTCGCCGGTGTGCCCAACAAGGAAACTGACAGCTACCTGGCAGTCCGAATAACAGAGTCGCGGTGCCGCGAACACCTATCAGAAACCACAGATTCACCGGTGTGCCCAACGAGGAAACCGACAGCTACCTGTCATGTATTGATAAACATGCTACCCTGACGTCAGCAACATGACGTCATCGCCCTGATAGCGGCGACTATATGAAAGAGTACGCAACAAATAAACATTCTTCTTGTTCGATTCGCTCCGACATGAGTCTGGTCTCCGTATCTCGGCCATGATAGAACAACTGGCAGCGAAGATGGGATTTCACGGCGGCATCTCGGTAGAACGGCCACTCAAGTAACAACGCAGCACCGCGGAAGCTAGGAGCAAGCGTCGCGGAAACAACAGAGGACGGAGCAGGCGAGATCAACAGAACATATAAGTGCACTGTTTCGACCGACATTATGTCAACGCCTTATCCTCAGCAACACCTAGGAGGCATGTCCATGGGCGTACGAAACGGGGGGCAAGGGGGGTGCTTGCCCCCCAGTTCTCAGAGTGGGGGGGGGAGGGAAGGCAAGGCATGTGTTTTGTCCCCCCCCCCCCCCCCCCCCCCTGAAACAGCCGCCACTGGGCAGGGCAAACACTTTCCAACGACGCCCAAGGGATGCCAAAGGGCACCGCCCCCCGGCCCTGGGGGAGGGGGGGAGGAGAAGGGTCTGGTTTGCCCCCCCCACTCAAAAACAAGTTGGTACGCCACTGGGCATGTCCGAGTTAGACCCAAAGAGCGACAACATTAGGTTGTACTTCGAGAGGTTTGAAAATTTTGTTGACATTAACGAAGTACCCGCAGCGAAAAAGCTGAAGTTGTTCTTGAACGTGGTGGGTGGTCAGGCTTACAAGGAGCTCAAGAAAATCCTAGTTCCACAAAAGGCCACTTCAGTCCGGAGTATTTTGTAATTGCCGAACGCTGCAAATTCAACAGGCGAACGCAACAAGAAGGTGAAAGCGTGAAGGATTTTATGACAGAATTGAAGCACCTAGCACGCAACTGCGAATTTAAGGCATTTCTTAATGAAGCTTTGAGAGACCGCCTGGTAGCTGGCTTACGCGACGAAGAGACACAGAGAATATTGTTTGCTACGGAGGGTCTGACTTTTGAAGGCGCCTGTAAAATAGCCCTTGAAAAGGAACTCTCATCGCGGCAAACCAGCGAGCTGTGTAGAGCAGAAGCAAGACCGACAGAAGTTCACGCTATCAGCGGCAGCACATACAGGAAAACGCAAGCGTCACGATCAAAGAACCAAGAAAAAGAAAACAAGCGGGAAACTCACGCGTCGCGATTAAAGCAGGAAGGCGCATCAAAGACGAAACGCGGTTGTTATCGCTGTGGGAAAGGACACGCGCCTGACCGATGCTGGTATCGAAATATGAAATGTCGGGTGTGCGCAAAGACAGGACATTTGGAAGCAATGTGCCAAGAAAAGAAACGGCGTCCGATAAACTATGTTGATACGTCAGACGATGACTCCGAAGCATCGCAAGTTTATCACGTCGTGCTCTGTGCAGCAAGCGACAAGCGTAGGTACAAGGTTTCCGTAAACATTAAAGGGAAGCCGATTTCTATATTGCTTGACACGGGGGCAGCAATTACGCTTATTTCTGAAAGCGTCTACAAGGCAACTTCGCAAAAGTCATATGGAAACAAACGAAGGTTTCCTTAAGAACATACACTGGAGAACCTTTGAAGATAAAAGGAAAGGCAGCTGTCAACGTAGAGCTCCCCCTTTTCGTGGTAGAAGATAACCAAGGAACTCTACCCACACTACTAGGTCGCGACTGGTTAGAAGAGTTGCAACTTGACTGGAAAGCCGTCTGTACAGTAACAGAGGAAGACAAAGTCAAGTCTCTAAGGGAGAAGTTTCCATGGTAGCTAAACTCGTGGAGCAAAACCTTCTTCGCTTTCTGACGTAGCGGGGGGAGGGACCAAAAGAATGACGCAAAGTTTCCTCCTCCCTGCGCGCGTTCAACTTCGCAACTTTTGACGAAAAATTCCCCGCGATCCCTAGGCGGTGCACGAGAGCACGAGACAGCGCGGGAAGGCCAGCGTTCACGCCGCTTGCTGTACGTTGTCTTTGAGCTCTCTAGTGCCGACAATCCCGTCATGCCTCGCCCAGGCAAGGAGACAGAGCAGACGACGAGAGTTCGTCTGCTACGATGAGGCATTCGCACAGCGGAACTGAGAGAAAAAGTTGGTTTTCTGCTCAAATTCGCGTCCCACGGGCCACAAACTTAAACGCGAGCTTGAATTGTAAGCGTCTGATATTACACGAAGGGAGGAATTGATGACCCGTGTTTTATTTGCAAAATTTGAGTCTCTTTGTTGCCGTACAGACGCTGAAACCTACCAGTGTGTAATGAAAGGCCCAGGACAAACACAGAGGCTGCGAGGTCTCGCATCATCCGTGTGCGGGTGAAAAGTGGAACATTTTTCGACAAAGCTCCCACAGCAGAAACCTGTGACGCATTCACTCAGCGTCCGGGAAGGCTAAACATGGAGACGTTGCCCGAGGCTCACGCAGAGTCATATTTGAACGGCAGCTATCTTGCCCCGTCGTATTTTGTTTGAGAAAGCTCTCGTTCTCAATGCCCTCACCAGGGAAATAAAAAGTTTTACGAAACATATTGCTAGATGTTCCAAAGAACTAGATTTAAGCTGTATCCTTTCAGTGGTTCACTCATAATACTATGCTTAAAACGAAGCAAGCTCTTGCGCGTACAGTGCCATCAATTTTCTCAAGTGTATGCTGTTTTGTAGTCAGCTGGTTTCGGAAACTTACGCCGTCTGTAGATATTTCTGACCGCCGAGTTTCTTAATTGGAAGTCATCGCAAATATAAGTTACACGTTGCAGCAACCAACGTTTATAGATAAACGATGGCAGCGATTGCACTCTCGGATTCCCACCCATCACGTCGAACAAAAAGGGGCTAGTTTCGGTTTGAGGTCGGTACTTTTCTACAACATCTATGGCGACAGCATCAGTCTGCACTTGGTGCATTCAGCAAGTTCGTTCTGGGCCGGTTCTCCGTGCAGCACTCCGCGGGCGCAATGCATTAGAACTCTCACAGTGCAAGTCTGGATCGCGGATTGGGGGCCCGTCACTGGCCTCACCGGCAGCCGTTGCTTGACAAAAGGCAATACGCCGCGTCCTGTCTAGTTC